ATTTTGATAATGGCTGTAGATAGTCAGAAGATGTAGAGCTGGGTGATGTACTGTATACCAAAAAAAAAAAAATCATTTTTCATTTTTGTAATTATAGCAATTTTCCATAGTCTCAGGATTTTTTTTCAATACAAATTATATTTTTCACACAATGAAAGTTTGAGCCTTACTTTGTAGTTTGAATTTGTGTATGCCTATTAAGAGTTCTGTCAGGGAGTGACAGACACAGGTGCATGGTTACCATTGTGAACCTAATAATCATCTACCAGCAGCTTTAAAACTTACATTGATTTGGCTTCTCTTACACTTTCTATAGAGTTTATACATCCGTAATTTGTCAGCTTAGATTAGTGCATTTCTAGTCATTACTGGCTTTTATTGAAGAAACTTGATGTATGCTGGACTTATGGGCTGTAGCTACACTGTTCAACATTTCCTTAGAAAATGTTTAGTTTGTTGTAAAAATGTTTTTGATTGTGAATATAGTTTTGATTGTTATTCATGGAGCTCAGATTTACTGTACAGTCATGTTGTTTTACATCTTCTATGGACATTTGGCTTGAATAAAAACTGACTTTAGATCTATGATCACCTTCAGGATGCTCTTATTCACAATTGTTGCTGGCAGTCACTGAGCAATGAGCATCTCTTCACCAGATGCTGTACTCAGAGCCTTTTAAATCTGCCAGTCACACACATAAAAACAAGTCTTTTTGCATTCTTGGAAGCTCAAACTGGGAATTTCGAAAGCTTATTTGCTTCCTGTTGGCACTGACTGGTAAAGTGCCCAAAAGGCACTTTAGCAGACTGTTATCAAACAGACAGTCCAGGCCTCATTATTTTTGGTGGAGGTCATTTTACTGTAGCCTCACAGAGGAACAGTTATCTGCTGTAGCCTGCTCAATTGTCGATCAGTCTTTTTCTCTCTGTGCGGTCGTGGCTCTTCACAGCCGGTCAGTTTAACAGCACAATCTGATAGCAGCTCCCTGGCTTCCACTCCACCCCTCCCAATGTAATAAAATCAGTGGGGGACAGGCTTTTGGTCTGCCTTAGCTGATGAGAATGGAAATGTGCTGTGATGTGACTGTATACCTTTGTACAAACATATTTTATTGCACGAAGCTGAAAATAAGTGGGGGAGGTGAAACAGGAATGTCAGATATTCTCATGATTTACTGAACTCACAGAACACACAAGGGGGATATTACCAGGCTCTGTGATGAATGGTTGGCAAACAGTAGATTAAACCCAGATTGTAATAAATACATTTCTGTGATATTTACAGTTAAACTATGACTGACTTGAGCAATAACAATGTACGCACACACACACTGAATGTACCCCTTTTTTATAAATACAGATATAGTTTCTCATTGCCTTTAAAAAGAACCATTTATTGACTTTGTAAAAAGATTAATGCACAGTACAAGCATTGCAGTCTTAGTGAAGAATCAATGAAAACTGAATAAAGCATGTGAAGGAAGCAAAAAGATCAGCAAGTCTTAGTATCATTTGTTTCATTTAAACTGTGTCATCAGATGAGATTTTTAGAATGTGTACTTCAAATTAGTCTTTGTTCCACCGATGGGCAAAAACAGTGCCATTTCTGCCTTTAAATATTTCCAGAGGCTACCCGGGTTTATTTTATTTATTTTTCTATTTTTTTACTTTTGAAAATCAGGATATCAGACAACTACTTTCTTCACCTCCACCTTTAACTTGACACCCTTACAAAAAAATGAAATAATTCAAAAGATGTTTAAGGAATTTCAAGGGCGACTGTTTTATGTGATGTCCTGTTAAAATGTGAAAGTTCAAAGAATTATTGTAACCGTCATGATTGTCTTTATTTTTTTTTTTACATTGGCACCATTGGTACCATTATGTTGGTAGTAATGCACAAAATCAATAAGATAATTCCCAACAAATATGAAGAGTTTGTGCTTAAAATATCCAATCTTATTGGTCAGTGATGCTAAAACATGCTAACATTGACTTTGCTTCCAGAAAAAAATTAGCACCAATGACAGTGTGTACTGGATATTCAGCATTAAAGCAATAGTTCAGGCCTTTTGAAGTGGGATTCTGTGGAAACATTAAGACTTCATATTTTATGTTTTTAATAGCTCATTGAATAACCTCAGTTTGGAGAAAGAGTTTATTTCTAAACAAGCTAACAGCTAGTTTCATCGAGAGTCGAGACAAGTGTATTGTGTACTGCCATTTAACAACAACTCATCCTTTACCCAGCTGTCAGTTGCACATTACAGTGTTATTTACATTGAATTTTGTGAATAATCTCAAGCACAAAAAGTGGCAGCAGTACCTAGCATTACCTAATACTTCTACTGGAATAACTATATTGTGAAAAATTCATGGTGGTGTAAAGGTTTAAAGCATTTACATGAACCATTGTGGCTTTTTAAAGGCACAGACAAAATTATTGTCCACCTTTTGTCTTCTGATTAGTGCGTGAATTAATTTCCACAGCTAAATCAATGTAAGTGTGATGAATTCTTATTTTATGTCATAAATTTCCTGAAGTTTAAGCTAAAGGCACAGAAACATTTTAAGAAGAAAACTAAGATATTGAGCAAGCTAGCTGTTTTTCACAACCTCCTGTTTTTATGCTGAGGTAACCTGAAGATAATAATAGTTTCATTAACCTTCCAGACAGGAAAGGGAATTCTTCAGAGAGTGGAAGTACTCCTACAGGTCTAAGTTAGGTTATGTGAGGAAATCATAAAGTGGCGTTGATACAAAATAATTACCCATTAAATTGAAAGTTGACAAATCCTTTGTTTTTATTGTGTGTTTGAGATTATTCAAGCATCAAAGTTTTGTTATTGTGAAAAAAGGTAATCAGAAAAAAAAAACAAATATTTTGCAGCAGGCAGCACTGTTCTCAATGGAATATAGATAAAATTTATCAAACAAGTGTTTAGCCGATCCTTTTTGTGGTTGAGGAGTGTTGTGGGCTCACACTAAAACCTGTGAGGCATAATGAGTCCGACAGCTGGACAGAACAAGGCCATTCCCACTGCTGCAGAGAATTTCCACTATTTTTTTCTTTACTTAAGGTACCCATGAATTGTGTTCAAAAGAGCAAGATTTGTACAAACTGTTTTAATTTACCATACTGTTGTAGTGGATACTCTGTGTTAAACCAGAGGTTAGAAAACAGCAAAAAATCAGCACTCAGTTGTTTTTGAGTTAGTCAGGCCTCCAGAGGGAGAACACAGTTGGTTATGGGTAATTAGGAAAATAAATATTCAGCCTGATCATCTTGAATTTATGTAAGTGCATCTGTAAAGTCATTGTGCACATGTGTCAAACACAAGACCCGCGGGGTGACTCCCGTGTGGCCCGCCAGGGTGGGTC